CCCCCATTATCTTTATGGCCCCCACCCGCCGCTCAGGGTGGGGGAGGGGGGGAGGACAATAGGTCCTGCTCACTGTTTTGTAGACATGCCCCTACTCGCGGTATAGTGAGTAGGGGCATTTGGGAGATTTAAATCTCTCTTGTGCTATTATGGGGGTCATATTGACCCCCATAGAGTGAGAGGGGGTACTGGGGGGCTTATGAAGTGGTGGGGAGCACTGCTCCCTGCCACTTCTATAGTTACATATTACAAGGAGGGAGCTGCACGCCGGTAGCTCCCTCCTTGTAATAAACTGCACGAACAAACATACACTGATACTCAGATACACTGATACATTGTGTTTGTTTGTTCGGCTGATCTTTCTATTCACTCATTCGTCTGTCTGATGAATGAATGAATAGATGAAATTCCCGTTCGCATGTCCAGGTGTTTCACTGGGCATGTGCGGGAATCTCAGTGTCTGCCTAGTGTGGGCTGATGACGTGTCCCACAGGGACTTCACCTACCCACACAAAGATGGCTGCGCCCTGAATCAAGATCGGGGCAGAAAATAAGGATTTAAAAATAGGTAATGTGGGGGGCTTAGGGGCATTTGGGGGTGACTAGTGGGTCAATTGGATGTAGTGGAGGCGGGAGGGGGGTTAAAAAAAAAAAACGGGTTTCGGCATGACAGTGCCGCTTTAAGTTCCAACAGTAATCATCAATGCTCTGCCGGTAGCTCATTTTGATCACATAAAATCATTATGCTATATGCTCACTAAAAGAAACATACATTATAACATTGTCAACCCACAGGATAGTAACTATTGTTTAGTAAAGGTTGTAACTGCTTCAAACACTTGTCCACCGATGAAAAGGCAACTTGACGTGGGACCGTCTTTCTTGTGAAGGTAGAGCGGATCGGAAAGTAGGAAAGATAGAACAGTAGGAGATAAAGTACTTTAGAAGTGAAGGAGAGCTTCCCTACATATAGATATTCAATAGCTCAGTGTTGGAGGGGTTAGTGCTGTGGGGAGTCCGAGTCCCGTTCAGGGGACTTACCGGAGAAATGGGGTGCACTTGTCCCTTCCAAGGTGTGGGGATGTTCTGGGTTCCTTTGTGCCTGCTGCACCTACAATTAAATAGTGCCTTCTTGGAACCATAATGGAAAAGTTGTTGTGTTTTTTTTATCCTATAGAGCTTGGTATAATTGTCCCCTTGACACTTCCCCCTCCTAATCTTGTCTGTAGAGTACACAGGCAAGGTTATTGGAGAATGTGGGTCACATATTCTCTGGACACCATGTATGCCCCTCTAATCGTTATTTATAAGGTCGTCCCAAATTTCCCATGCTTTCCTAATATCCTTGTTTCTATTAGAGCCCATAGACGCCACGCTCTCATATTTACCATTAGTCGTGACCTGTTGTACCACTTCATCCCTTCCTTGGGCGCCCTTTGATTTCCATTTCCTAGCTATTAAGAGATTTTCTGCTATGAGTATATGGAAGGCCAGGGTACCCTGGTATCCGATAAAAGTGTTTGGCAACATGAAGAGTAGGAACGTTTCAGCTGCCACTGGTAACCTGTGACTGTCAATATCAATATGTCATCGTAGCACACTGAGATTACCCTTCTTTTAGGTGTCAGGCCCGCACACATTTTTTCAATTATGGACCAGTCGGAAGCCTGAAGGGTCCGGGCGACATGTCTAGATTGGTGACTTATGTCAAAAGATTTAGAGACTTTAATTTGCCATAACAGCCTCTCCTTGAGTATAGGAAACAACAATTACAGGGTGCACCAAGAACAAAGTAAATAAATAAAATAGATAATAGGAAAAAAAATAAAAAATACCTTGGAAACAGGCCTTAATGTAGAGCTTAATTGGAGATATAACAAGAAAAGTATAGGGGTAATACCATATTCAGTTTGGAGCATTGCGAATGACTTGACACCTGACCATAATTGGTGCAAATGTATCATTCCTCTACCTTCCCAGTCCCTGCTATCAAAAGTGGGAATCATATATTTAAAGCTAGGGTGTCCTACCCGCACATGACCCAAGACCACTAGCAGTGTGGCCCGGTTGCAGTCTGGGTGGAGGGGGACTTAACTGGCCCACCCAGGCTGACAGCTCTAAAAATGCCATTGAAATTATTCCCCCCCCCAGACTGTGACGGCCGGTGTCAGTCTGAGGTGATTAATGAATGGTGTGCTGGCGGCTGGAGGGAGCACTGTGAGCCTCCCTTCACTATTCTTTGCAATTCCATGTCCAT